TTCTCTATTTTTGTACTATATGAGACAAATTAAAAAAAGTCTATTTTCAGTCAAAAATATTTTGTTTTGGTGCTTACCAATGAATAAGATGAGTTCTTAATTATATCTGCTGTATACTGTTAAGGCAACTAGCAATGGCACTTCTTATTCGTATTAAGACTCCAATTTATTGTTTGCTTTTTTCTCTAATTTACTGTACAATAATTCTACTATTAAGATTTTGGACTTTTCGAGGGATTTTTTAATCAGTAAATGTACTTTGTTTGCCTATAAATATTCATCTCAACAGAGTATATTCTACCTTTGTCCCCAAGATTGTCATACCTATAGAAATTTGACTTGTTTAGTTTAATGAAATCTTGATACCCATCACAAATAACGCACACAAACGAAGACTTGAGATAAATAGGAACATGCTAGTGTTACTGTTACATATGCGGCCTTATTCGATTTAGATTTAAATTCTACAATACGACAGAGATTTCGGATTTGAGTTTTGATAATGGAGAAATCTCTAGAGTACTTAGAGGTTTACACAATGCCAATGTAGATTAGTCAGGTCAATAGATTCTGGATACCAAATGATTATAAAAAAAAAAAAAAAAAAAAAAAGCCACCTTAAAATGTCTAGTCAACCTTAAAGATATTCTGGCAGCTGAGAATCAAAACTCTTTATGCCATAGCTAAATACTTCACTACTAGGGACTGTCAGCTCTATAAATAAGAAAATTAATTATTTCAACTCTACTATTGTTCCAAGTTTACACCTTTCTCTATAAATTTCTTGGTTTTTTATCACTTTTTCTAAATATGGGGTTTTTATTTTGTAAATCTGCAAAGCTTGCTCATGCTTCTTCAAGCCAGTTCTTTGGTAGAATCCACTATCTTCTTCCAATTTATCTCTGCTTTTTTTGAATAAAATTTATAAAAAAGTTGAACTGCATTGTGATTTCTTAAACACCCTTTTTTGTATATGTAATTTAGGGATTCTTGAGATATAATTCTACCTTCTTCTCTATTTATTTATGAAATTTCATGTTAGCTAAAAAAAAATGAAGTGTTGAAAAGCACCTTAAAACTACCAATTTGATCCTGTGAATAGGAACACAATATTTGCTACGAGTGTTTCACTCTAGTCAAAGATTTATATGCCACTAGCAGATGTAAAAATTATAGTGCTAGAGAAACTATTTTTCTTTTTATTTATATAAACCGAGACGAGCTTAAATGGAGCGACGGACAGTGAGGATTCATAAAGCCGACCTTGATATGATTGTATTGTAGCAAATAAAAACACAATCATGTATAACGTTCATAATATGATTAAAGTATGCATGTTATTGTCATGGCTCATTTCTTCCTTCTGTTGAATACAATATAGTTGTTCAATTCTAATGGGCAGCCCGGTGCACACTAAGCTCTCGCTATTGCGCGAGGTCCGGGGAAGGGCAAGACCACAAGGGTATATCGTAGGGAGCCTTAGCCTGCATTTCTGCAAGAGGCTGTTTCTAGGGGTCGAACCTGTGATCTCCTGGTCACAAGGCAACAACTTTACCAGTTACGCCGAGACTCCCCCTTATTCTATATGTCAAATTCTATTTCCAAGCTGATGACATCTTTGCAATTCTTATTTCAGATCCTAAAACTGGCCTTAGCAATGAGAAAAAGGAACCAGTTCATTCTCATAAACAGTCATTCTATGACAATTCTAGCAAAAGTGAGTCATGTATTCACAGAAACCTCAAGTCCTTTACCTTCAATGACCTCAAGAATGCAACTAGGAACTTCCGAGCTGATAGTCTTCTTGGCGAGGGAGGTTTTGGATGCGTATTCAAAGGATGGATCGACGAAAATACTTTTGCTCCCTGCAAACCAGGAAATGGAATGGTGGTAGCTGTCAAGAAACTTAAGCCTGAAAGCTTCCAAGGGCACAAAGAATGGCTTGTATGTCATCAAGAAACTACAGCATTATAACGGCCAAGGTCCAACTGCCAAGGTATTGCCCGCTTTGGCCCAAACTGCGGAGCCTCACGATTAGTTGAATTCTTGAGCCTTCCTTATATGGCCCCTAAAGTTTTCCTCCCATTTCGATCTGGGATTTGTCTAAGGAAAGCTTCACAACAAACCTCCTTTCAAAGTCAATTGCTAGCAGTCCATGGAAAGTTACACCCACCATTTAGGAACTCAGCGTCCTCGTTGAGGTTTGCCAAGATAAGGCGAGTTCATTAGTCCAGGGCTCCAGGCCCCTTATTCATTAAAGCTAAGTGAACAAAATTGTGAGGTCACGAAGGTTTGGCCACAATGGACAATACCTTGACAGTTAGGCCTGGACTGTTACAAGAATTTTTCTTTAAAATGTTTTTTGTAGCACTTGTCTTTTGTGATTTAACATTTTTTTCCATATATCTTACCTGCAGGCAGAGGTTAACTACTTAGGACAGCTTCACCATGAAAATCTAGTGAGGTTAATTGGATATTGCTCAGAGTTTGATAACATGCTTCTTGTTTATGAGGTCATGACAAAAGGAAGTTTGGAAAATCATTTATTTAAAAGTGAGTCAATCTCTTTACAAAACTGTTTCCAGAAAATATTTCTATATATTTCCTGTCATTTCACATGAACCTTCATTTTTGTATGCTTAGTAATCGATAGAAGCAGAGGCGGACCTATGTGTTATAGTGAGGGGTCACTGGACCCTAAGTTTTGGTAGAAATCTTGTATGTATGTATATATATATATATACACCTTGAAAATGGTTAATTTAAAGCACTTGACACGCTAAACACTAAAAGCCTTTAGGAGGCACTGGTTGAGTAGAATACTATGCCTCTGTCGCATAAAAATCATGGGTCCGCCTCTGGATAGAAGACTAACATCGTTGATCCTTCAATTGTTTTATGCAGAAGGAGTTCAACTTATACCTTGGGCTACACGAATGTGTATTGCAGTAGACGTTGCGCGAGGCTTGTCCTTCTTACACGGTCTAGAAGCAAATGTTATTTACCGCGATCTCAAGGCTTCAAACATACTACTAGATTCAGTAAACTCTCCAAATCTGTAACAATGATTAGAACTAGAAAACTGTTTCTCCAAAACTTATAGATTGAATTTGTGCAGGATTTCAATGCCAAGCTATCAGATTTTGGACTGGCAAGAGATGGTCCTAGTGGAGACAGAACTCATGTCTCAACCAGGGTTATAGGTACTATGGGTTATGCTGCACCAGAATATGTTTCATCAGGTTTCTTTCGTTAACCTCAACTTATGTTTTTCAAATTAAACTAGTTATCTTGTTATTGTGACCGAAGGGGAGCCTTGAAGCAACGGTAAGTTGTCTCTGTGTGACCTATAGGTCAGGGGTTCGAGCCGTGGAAGCAGCCACTAATGCTTGCATTAGAGTAGGCTGTCTACATAACACCCCAAGGCCCCAAGGGGTGCGTTCCTTCCCTGGACCGTTGCGTGAACGCGGGATGCTTTGTGCACCATGTTGCCCTTTTTTTTTTATCATGTTATTCTGGTCATCTAATTTGAGTCACTTATTCATTCTTGTTCCTTACTGATTTAATGTGTATAAACTGACAGTGTAAAATTTTTTACACTATGCGGTGTAACTTAACCTGTTGTAGCAGGTTGTCCACATTATATTTTATGTAACCTGTAGTTATTTTTAGGTGACTTGATAACGTAAAAATAACTTAAAATTCGTTTACACTGTCAGTGCATAGAAAATTGTGGCAACTTCCTTTTCTTTTTTCTTGTTTTATATTGGATACATGTTACATGCACAGACAGTGTAAAGATTTTTACATTACCAGTATAGATTAACATGTCATAGTAGGTTAGTTACCATCTTTCACCAGTAATACTTACCATAGAAATGTATTTACCATGTAAGTGATCTAATCGTGTACATAGTCGGTGCATAGAGCTTAAAGTATCTGATATTTTGCAGGTTTTTTCACTGATTTTTCCAACTCAACTTGTTCCAAACAGGTCACTTGACACCAAAGAATGATGTCTACAGTTTTGGGGTTGTTCTACTAGAGTTGCTCTCCGGGAAACGAGCAACGGGTGATGAAAATGCAGGAGGGGTTGATGAAACATTGGTGGAATGGGCAACACCATTCCTAAGTGATAACAGAAGAGTACTGAGAATCATGGACACATGATTAGGGGGACAGTACTCAAAGAAAGCTGCCCAAACTGCAGCTGCCCTTGCTCTGAGGTGCCTCGACGTTGATCCGAAACTTAGGCCAACCATGAATGAAGTTCTAGCAACACTAGAGCTTGTGCAAGCACCAAAAGATGTTACTAATAAGAGCTTACAACAGATTAGACAATGCAGATGACAAGATAAGTCACCCTCAATTTTTTCTCATAGTTATCAGTAGCTGGAGAAATGTCCATCATGTGAATAGTCATTGACAAGGGTGCATAAAAGGCTAGCCCGGTGCACTAAGCTCTCGCTATGTACGGGGTCCGGAGAAGGGCCGGACCACAAAGGTCTATCGTATTTCATACGCAGCCTTACCCTGCATTTCTGCAAGAGGCTGTTTCCACGAACAGGGGTGCATGCATGACTAAAATAAAGAAAGGGATTTTTACGCACTACAGCCGCCTCCCAAAATAATAACGGGAAAATGTATATTTTTATACATTAATGTATAATATGCATATTTTATACATATTCAATGAATATTTTGGCTGATGGTTGTAATTATCTTTGGCCGACCAGTCATATGTGTTAAAAGCCCAAAAAAATAAGCTTCACAGGGAAGCTCCCCCCCGCCCCCCTCCCCCAACCTCCCCCCACCACAGACACTAAAGTGCTCGGACGCTTCCTAGCTCTACCATATCTTTTGTTTCATTTCTCCTGGAACAATCACAAACATCTCTTTTTCTATTGCATATTGATTAAGTATATACTCACTTAGATATCCAAGATTTGAAATACAAAATCGAGAACACTAAATAAAAATCTATTAATTATTTCAAAGAGAAATAAAAATCTAAAGAATCCAATATACAGTATACCATGCAATCACATTTGTCAAAAGTGACACAGATTATACAAACTTCACCTTAACAGGAGCAAACTCTGCTGTCTGTCTAATACCTACAACTAATGAAACAATTTGAGAAATCCTTTTTTGGTAATTCTCTTATAAGAGAACAAAGTCCCAGAAAAGATGGCCTCAAAAGAAAAATAAAGGAAAAACAATAGTAAAGAAAGAAAGAACCACAACAGTTCTTACAATTGGTAGCAACAGAGATTTTTTCAAAAAAATGCAAATTCTATTGCTCTTTACTTCTTCTTTTCCATGTTCTCTTCAGTTTTCCATACAACTTCATCTAAGGAGGTTGAAAGATTCTTGTAGAACTGCATAAAGAAAAGATGGACAAGAAATTGTTTAAACAAATGAAGAAATAAACCAATCTTATAGCAGTGGTATAGCAATGGACCGATCACTTGCGAAAAGAGTTGAAGAAGACAGGAGGAGGATGCGAAGAAACTGATTAATAGAGCAATCAATAACTACAACAACGACGACGACAACGACGACAAACCCCGTGTAATCCCACAGATAGGGGTCTGAGGAGGGTAGTATGTACGCAGCCTTACCGTTACCTTATGCAGGTAGAGAGGCTGTTTCTGGTAGACCCTCGGCTCCAAGCAAGCATGCAAATCACAACAGAAATACAGTAGTGTAAAAGTCAGAAAAGCATTAACAACAGCAAGGAAGTAGACCAACCATTAACTATACCTTGCTTTTAAATTTGTTGGACTCAACTATACTAATACCTTGTATATATTCCCCTCAATTCAGATCCATAGGCTTCATCTTTTAACAATTTTTATGTTGACCGTCAACCTACCACAATCCTCCTCCTTTATCCGGATTCGACCGGCTAGTCAGTACACTTTCTGAATTCATATAGGCCAATATGCAATTGCTTCTTCAAAAAAGGATAACCATGTCTCAATTATTCCAAGGAGTGGATTCGTTTCTCTAATCTTTCAACATGCATACAATTCTTAGTCTTTTAATCGAATGTTCTTTCTACCGTTTAAACCTCAAGTTTGTGTTCCTCCTGGATCAATTAGTTTGCGATTATACGTGTCAAAACACCTACGAATACCTACTGATTGTCCGTACTGCTTCCTGAGTTCAGCATTGTCATTTTAATATTATTTTGGAAGTTTAGCCGAATATCGTACCTTGTGGAATTCCAAAGTGTCACCTTTTGCCTTGCGCACCTCAACCATATGAAGAGACGGAGCAACTTGAAATATCTAATTTGAAGATCAAACAGTGTTCAGAATAAAATAAGAAATATCTACCTTAAAAGAAGGTCAACTAGGATGCACATTTAAATACCTCAGTGGAAACATTAAGGTTCCCTTTTCTTCCGGCTTTCAGATTTTGGAGCCTCATCTGAGAGAAACATAAGAACGGTTTAATGCTTCATTTCCATTACAATAACTTTTAAACATATTAGAGGAATCTACATGCGAATTGAATGAATCACTGAATTTCATCACAACCTTGTAGTTCTTTTTGCTAACATCAAAGCCGAGAGGTTTAGCAGCTTCTTCGATCTTACTGATTATCTCGTTGGCCGGGCATTTAGATGTGAACCTCGTTTCTCGCTTGAATCCCTGAGAGCAACGGTATCAACGCATTTGTCAATATAGGAAGAATGGAACAGTACAAACATCATCGATGATGTTTCCTACAAAGTGGAAAAGCATTTAAAACAAAATAACGTTTGTGACCTGTTCGTCGAAGAGATTGCCAAGGTTAAGTCCTTGTGACATAGAAATCAACTCGAATGCATTCATGGAAGTTGGCTTCTCTTCTTTTTTCTCTGTTACATGATATTCCTGTTGTAACGCCAAGGAAGGAGTAACATGTGAGATAAATTTCATACTACAGCCACTTCTTTCCTCTAAATTCGACGCAAAATTTACTGCATTCCATATGTTCGGTATGCTTACTTCAGAGTCTTTGAAAACAGCTTCAACATCATCCAGGTTTGCATCTTCTATCTCGTCGAAAACAGGTGGTCTATAATCTTTCTTAAACCACTCATCCTCCAAAATTTCAGGGGCGGTAATACGCTGCATAGAATATATATCTCATGAATAAGAGGAAAAAGGGGGAAAATAATTACATTATTGGGCCTCCTCCAAAATAATAGCCGGCCAGTGAATATGTTTTGTATATGTTGGCTAGCGCCTGTTATAAGAGGCGGATCTAGGATTTAAGTTTAATGGATTTAGCTTTTAAAATTTTTAATTTTGAATTATCGGTTCAAATTTAGCAGGTTTTTACATATAAGTCCATACCCCATATCGAAAGTTGTGGGTTCAGTTGAACCTGTAGCGGAAAGGCTATATCTGCCCCTGCCTGTAATTAATTTCAGTCGATTGGCCAAAAATGAAAAGAATTGTAGTCACAAGCTATAAACCAAGAAGGTTCTGTCAAAATGTCTAGTATGCATACCGTCGTAGGATTTGGATCCAAGATGCGATTAATTAACTTCATGGCAGCAAAAGAGATCCAAGGTGGGCAAGTAAATTCAGCAGCAGATATCTGTGCGTACCAAAATAGATATAGTGAAACTAGCCAAGAAATGCACAAAAAACGATTGAATGGTACGAAATGGTTAAGTAAAATGCTCACTTTGTTATACAGGTTCATGAGATTGGAGTCGTCAAAAGGCAAGTAACCTGCAAGCAGTACAAAGAGTATGACTCCGCACGACCAGAGATCTGCCGTTGCACCATCATATCCTCGGTCATTGAGTACCTAATAAAGGAGTCCAATTTTTCAGGCTAAGATTCAATTGATGTTTTCTTAAAACTTTCGAAGACCTCACGTAAATTTTCGATGTGGTCGGTTATGTAGGAGGAGGCCACTGAAAATGTGAAATCGCTTTTTGATATGTTGAACTTTCTTTTTCTTTTTCTTTTTTGGGCAAAGTAAAGGAAGTGAGGTAACTCATTCGAATCGGATAGCTAGAACTACTATAACTCCTATTTTAAACGAAGCCTTGCAGCTTGTTTTAAAGCACTAAAGAGAGAGATAGGACATTCTAAAGATAGTTGCTGAGGAAGCATCTGATTTCTAACTACGAGTCCGTTTTCAAGCTAACTGAATACTTTATCTTTTGCAAGTCTGTTACGGCAAAATCAAATAGGTATACATGAGTACGAACAGAAAGTTATGCTAAGCAGTTTTGTTATACCTCAGGAGCAACATAGTTGGGAGTTCCACAGGTGGTATGTAGTAAGCCATCGTCCTGGAAATTACAACAAAAACTAAGAACAGTATCTGACTGAATTTGAGTCTCGTGACTCCCGTCAAAATGTGGAGAAAGAAATTTATTCCATTTGAAAGCTAAAATGATCAGCAGACTTGACATAAGGAGAGAAATTACTACATTCACTCATGACTTTTTTGTCACAATGTAAGAAATAAAAACAAAAAGAAGTCCATTAACAATGACATTGGAGGCAATTAAGACAAACAAGTAGTCAGCCGTCTATTATTGCTAACGCAGCAGCTATTTATTCTTCCAATGAAATTCACCAAAAATGACCTAGAGAACTGTCAAGACAAGTTAATGACACTGTGATTTCTTCTCTCAATTACAAACCAGATATCACCAAATTCATGGGCGTCGGAGTTGTAGACACAAGATAATTGAAAACTTTTGTTTATACTGGAACACAAACTAATACAGATGATTAATTGATGGTAATTGCGTTCTGAAGGATGACACTTAGAACGCCCTGCGCAACAGTTAGGTACTAGGTTGCAGAGTTCATAAGTACTAACGTAGAATGAGCAACATGTTCCCGAAAGATAAGGATACGGTTAGATGTACGTTACTTCTTTTTTTCCGGTATGTGAAGTTCTCTAACTTGTTCTTTTTGGTTGATATGAGGCTTGACAAGGCAACTTATTATGGGGTGAGTGTCTGACCGAAAAAAACTTATCTGCACCCAGTGTTTACATCAAACCACATTAAGTTACTACGATTAAGTATATTAATTAACCATGGTTAGCGATAAAAGTGCCTATCTGACACGTGTTTATTGGTTTACTGTAACAGCAAGTGTGGCTAAGTTTGTTCCCGTCTGACACCATGATCAGCTTTAGGATCAATGGAGGATTGTAAGTATTTAGGTTAACGAAACAAGCTCAGTAAGGGCTCAAATAACAGTGTTTTCACTGCATTAAATAATGATAACCACAAAGTAGAGGAGTTAAATACTTCATTTCAAAAGTTGAAGAGTTATTGAAAATAGTTACCCTGACTTGCTGGGATAGAGCACTCAATCCAAAATCAGAAACCTTGAGATTACCAGAAGAATCCAACAGTAAATTCTCAGGCTGCATAGCAAAAAATTGAGTTATAATTCCTGTGCGACTGACAGTGCAAAATTACAGTTAAAGTGACCTATAACCGATGCGGAGTCAGAATTTAAAGTTTATGTGTTCCGAACTTGTCACCGAACCCATGTTGTTCTTTCCTTATAAAGTTATTCTAAGCAAGTATGTATTATCCTTAAATCCTACTGAGGTTAATATTAATGGTATGGATGTACATAATGTTAATCGAAGGTGCAACGACCTAACGTCACTCCGAAAGGTTTAGAACGTGATTCCATGAGTCCAACATGCATTATATATAGTATCTATTTTACTCTACCGAGCCGCGCTATAGCTCTTTTTAGTTACTGGGTTCGCTGTTGAATATTTAAACAAATTTAGTGGATTTCCCCATACAAATACAGGGTATAAGCAAAAACTACTGGGTTTGTCCGAACCTGTATCTACTTCTCTAGCTCCGCCTCTGCAAATAACTATCTATAATAACCTTAAATTAGAAAGATTATTTACACTATCAGTGTATAAAAGTTAAATCCGCAAGAAAAGGTAGGACCGACGCAAGGGAAACAAAGACAGTAGCTCTGGAGCAAAAAGACTAGAATATAACTGAAGTGCTTTAACGGAAACAATACCGACCTTTAGATCTCTGTGATAAACTCCCCTACTATGACAATAATCAACAGCATTAATAAGCTGCTGAAAATACTTCCTTGCCTCTTCCTCGCGCATCCGTCCATGATTTACCTTTACATCAATAAATCAGGTGATAAACTTTAATGATCAATCAGAGTCAAAAGTATCAAAAGACTGTAAGCACCAAAATAGGTTTGAATAGCTGCTCAAAAGCAGATAAAAACCAAATCTGGAATCAGCAAGAAAAAGATCGATACTTTTTTTTGAGTGACGTGAAAAGGAAGAATCGGCCTTACAATTTTGTCAAATAACTCTCCACCTGTAACAAACTCCAAAACTATGAATATCTTTGTCTTGCTTCCCATCACCTGCGAGCAAATGAAATAGGCATGTTATGCGCACATCTTACATTTTGTGAAGTTACGTTTTTATCATTCAAAGAGTGCCCGGATCTAGATTACGGTGGTTGAGATAGAAAAAAGACCAACTCTACACACATTATGCACAATCAAATTCAAAGCAACGGCTTGGTTATTAGTTCAGCTGAACCAGCGCGACAGGTATACAGGATTCAGATGCGTATACATTGCCTTCACAAAGAAGTATAAACTAAGCGCATTTACCCACACAACACACAAATCGGACCAACCTCGTATAACTGTACAACATGAGGATGTCTGATTAACTTCGTTATAGCAATTTCCCGCTTTATCTGTCAAATTATACACAAGAGTTAACTACATATCAAAAACTCACACAAGAAACTACTAAATAAACCAAACCATACAAGAACGCAAATGAAAGGAGAACTTGAAAAGTTTACCTGTTCAGCCATTTTGTGCTTAAGGACCTTATCTTTATCAAGAATCTTGATTGCCACATTTTCTCCTGTCTCTGAATTCCTTGCAAATTTGACTTTAGCGAACGTTCCCTCGCCAATTGTCCTTCCTACTTCATATTTACCAACTCTACGCTTGATTTTTGCCCTACTCATTATCAACACACCAACACGATTCTGTAAAAAAGTATAAAGTTCCAGTTACATTTAACCCCTCACATTATTCATACACAACGCTAATAGAATGCTATTATATACACAAATAGTTGAGATCGAAATAACAAGCCATTATGCGGAAGCTAACAAAGTAAATCTTAGCGACGATAATATAAAAGAGAGAGAGAAAGGTAGGAAGTGCAGTTACAATTAACCCCCTCCCCCCCAAACAAACATTATTCATACACATAGCTAATGCTATTACATACACAAATGATTCTACTACTTGCATTCATTCAATTAATCTGCAGAGTTGTAACACAAACATACAGATTGAAATGAAGATCCTTCCAATATATACTTAGCTAATTCGACATAAAAAGAAGTCTGTTCTTGCAAGTTGAGGACTAAGGTAATTTGTGAAGAATTTTGATCTCAAAATAATCTTTCCAAGCAAGATTATTTGCTCCAAAATCAAAGAAAATAAAAGAGTGAGAGAATAAAGCAGTTAATGGCAATCAAGAATTCATCAATCCAACTCTTGTATTTATTTATTTATTTATTTATTTCTCTAATTTGTTAGAGGAGTAAGGATGAGAATCAAGATGACAACACCAATTAGTTAAACTAAGTCATATATAAAATACATATCTTGGAAATTGTTAATAAAAAAACCAGTGAGACTGAATAAAATAACAAAGAATTATTGGGACAATCAGTGATCAAACAACATATATGTGTGTGTGTGTGTGTGTGTGTGTGTGAGAGAGAGAGAGAGAGAGAGAGAGAGAGAGAGAGAGAGAGAGAGATCCAACAACCTCAAACATTTTTTACTTATAATCAGCAACAAATCATAGCATAATCCAGCTAGAACTGAAGCTAAATTCACAACAGAATAGACTAACAGAATAACCTCAACTTTTTAGAGAATCTTCAACCAAAAAAGGAAAAAGTGAAAGAAGAAAAAACACAACTTTTCACTAAACAGTGATTAAACAAGCAAAATCCTATACCATCAAGAACTGATTCCCACAAATTCTGATGAATAAAGAAAAGAACTTTCTTAATCCCCATCAACAAGAAAAGAGAAATCAAGAAAATAAACTTCAAATTCAAGATAAATGAACAAAATCCAAGTTACCCAATTTCAAAAGTTGAAGTACATGAAATGCAGATAAAGAGAAACTAAGTTAACTGAAAATCTCCAATCATTATTCCCCACAAAAATACCCAAAAAAGGCTAATTTGCAAAATTTAGCAAATTCCCACATAGCTACTTTATAAAAATTAACACAACAAAATTTATAAAGGCAAAAAGTAAGAGAAAGAAGCATATACTTTCAGCTGAACAGAGCAAACTTCACTGTGAAAAACAAAGCAATCAAATCTTGAAAATTCAGATTTATGAAATGGTTATCATTATTATATAGGAAACAAATTAATGCTTACGTTGTATGGTTGTGCATACACGATAAGAAAAGACTCAATTATTATTTTACCAGATATTTGAATGTGTGGACACTCCATTAACATGATGTCATTACATTCCAATTCCATGTTTTCTCTTGTCTTTTTTCAGGTAAGTAAATAAAGTGCTAAAATTAATTACTATTAGTATTATTGATAATTTAGTATGTTTCTAAACTCAAATATTAGCAAAGGCACATAGTTAAAAATTAATAATAACAATCTTTTATATGCTATGTGAGCTTTTTTGGTTTCTCAATAGATTTTAAGTGTCCGTGTTGGAGCCCGATTATAATTGGATTTGCATGACATAAGGGTAAAAATAACAGGGGCTAACCAGTTTTCCGACTAGTAATTGAAAAATAGCTAGCGTTTGCAAAGTCATTGAAAAATAGCCATTGTTTTGCTGCAACATTGAAAGTTCTAGCATAATATACTGGATATCGGTGCACCTATGTATGAACTTCCAGCATATTATGATGGAACTCCACCACACGAAAAGTTCCAGCATAATATACTAGAGATTAGAGCACCTGTTTATGAACTTCCAGTTTACTATGCTGGAACTCCAGCACATGAAAATTTCCAGCATAATATACTGGAGATTGAAGCACCTGTGTATGAACTTCCAGCATATTATGTTGGAACTCCAGCACACGAAAAGTTCCAACATAATATACTGGAGATTGGAGCTCTTGTGTATGAACTTCCAGCATATTATGTTGTAATTCCAGTATATTGCTGGAACTTCAGTATATTATGCTAGAACTTCAGTATATTATGCTGGAACTCCAATGTGTTATGTTGGAAGTTCACATTTAAAAAATTCGAACTCCAGTATATTATGCTGGAATATTTTCCGGATCATGACAGTATTTTCGTTCAAATTTATCTTTACATGAAAAGTGGCTAAAATTCGATCACTTTTGAAACTATGGCTATTTTTTAGTTACCACTTGTAAATCTGGCTATTTTTAAATTTCACCCGGCATAAGACCCATTTAAAGGGGAAGAGCTCCCTAACAAGATTTTTTACATACCCAAGGCTCGAACGTGAGACCTTTAGTACTACGAAAGTTTTTTTTTTCTTGATTTCTCACCCGATATTCGATACCCGTTATATGAGTTGAAACAAAGATAAAACATAAAACATTAATGAAATTCGTCGAAATTAATTTATTCGATAAACGAACAATGAAATAATTCAACTGTCAATTTGTTAATGAATTTAAGTTACATACACGAATAATATAAATATTTTTTACTATGAGGGAATTTTCAAATGTAATAACAGTAACATATTTACTAGTTTACCAATAGAGTAATTGTTATTTCAGCAATTGTTTCTACATATAAGATTTAAACTTGATGAGTTCAATTTTTAATGTTCGTACTATTAAACTCATTATATTTTTTAAATTATGAATTTAAAATTTAATATCTTTAAAAGATTAGTAAACTTTTGCATTGTTAAAAATATTGGGTTCAACCGATCCAATAATTGTACTCTCCGTCCTTCTAAAATTAATGTTCAAATTTAAATTGAAACAAAATATTAAGTAATTTCTTTTCATTTAGCTAATTTTAATTTTAGAGAATTACTAAGGATAAATTATCTAAAATAAGTAAATAAATAAAATAGGAGAATCTAGTCCACGTGCTATTATTGGAGGGTGGGACCAAATGGTCTCCTGATGAAAGGAATTAGGCGGTGCATGCATGTGGGTTTCTGTCATTTTGAGGATAATTTTGAAGTTGAGGCATTGATTTGTTTTGTTTCTATCCTATGTTCGGTATTAAAACATTTCTATAACAGCTTTATTTGTTTTGAATATTCTGAATATTATATCGAAATATTATTATAAAGAACATATATTAAAACTTGACTTTTATAATGAAGTGTTGTTATATAAGTATACAGTTATAGAGAGATCTGAGTGTATTAGAATTAGAAAAAATACAATATTAGTCAAGGTGATATACTAATAATTTCCGGGATATAATTCTTATGCCACATAGTAGACCTCCGAGAAAATGTCACGACCCGAATTTCCCGCTGTCAGGACCGTAATGGCGCCTAACATTGTACTCGCTAGGCAAGCCAGCGTTTCAGAATATCCCACCTTTTTCCTTTATCTTTCAAATATTTGAGACTTAACAAAATAAACCAGTGAAACAAATGCGGAAGAAAATAATTTAAAAGCTTAACTTTACACAATAACGAAAACCAAAGTAACATCCACCCAGAACTGGTGTCACAATCTCACGGACCGTTACAAATACTACAAATAATAGTCTGAACAAAGAAATACACATCTGTCTCGGAAATCGATTAAAAAAAAAGGAAACATGATAGAGGGGGGACGCCAAGGCCTGCGGACGCCTGCAGGTCTACCTCGGGTCTCCACTGGACTGAAGGCTGCAACCTCGAACTACGGTCGGTACGGTCCAGCACCGGGATGTGCGCAAAAAAGTGCAGAGTGTAGTATCAGTACAACCGACCCCATGTACTGGTAAGTGCCGAGCCTAACCTCGACGAAGTAGTGACGAGGCTACGGCGGGGCATAACAATATATAAATATAACCTCTAACAGTTTATAATAACGGAACATAGGTATAGAATGAAAAATAACCGGAACTTGCATTAAAGAAACACATTACTCAGCCATTCTATTAGTATCCAGCTATAACCAATCCTTAGGGAGTTTTCAATATCTCAATAATAGACTTCAATAGAAACAAATACCAAAAACCATAACTGATGCGGCGTGCATCCCGATCCCACCATATAAACAATAACAATATCAATATTCCAACAATAACAGTATCAATATTCTCCCTTATTCCTCCTTGTTGCGGCGCGCAACCCGATCCCACCTGTCCTCCCTTATTACTCCTCAACACATATCACTCTTATTCCTCCTGTTGCGGCGCGCAACCCGATCCTACCCGTCCACCCTTATTACTCCTTGTTGCGGCGTGCAACCCGATCCCACCAGACAATCACAATTCTCCCTTATTCCTCCTGTTGCGGCGTGCAACCGATCCCAACATATGTATATATCAACACCAATCACAAAGAATAAATACAAGGTGTTTCACAAGTTAACTCAATTTCCACAATTCTTATACTTCAAACTACACAATGGAATATCGCTACGATTATGAAACTTCACTCATGAAAACAAATCAGCGAGACCAACCAATGTGCACCATAAGGCACCAATGAATCCATACAAACCAACGGGGTAATAAAATGAAGCTACGAAATCAATAATACCTCAACGGGAACATCAACGACTAACATGAAATAACTAAATAATTCAATAAAGAGAACAACAATTAACATGAAGCAATTAGACATGGAAACATTTATGATCAAGTAGCAATTAAAGCAGGGAAGCAAGATATAAGGGGAAACGGGAAAAGGAAACAGGCTAAACAAGTAATTTGGTGGCGCATAGGTACTCGTCACCACACCTACACGTCACACACATGATATTTCACATAGCAAACAAGTCGGGGATCCCTAGTCCCTCAAGTCAAGGTTAGACCAAACACTTACCTCCAACTGACAATTCAACACTCGACCACCGCTTTACCTCTCGATTCCACCACCAATTCACTCGTATCTAGCTATAATTAATTTAATAACATCAATAAATGCTAATTAAACCAATTCTAATGCATGAATATGAATTTCCCAATGTTTTTCCCAAAAGGTCAAAACCCGACCCCGGGCCCGCTTAGTCAAAACTCGAAGTTCGGACAAAAATCCGATTACCCATTCACCCCCGAGCCCGATTATGCAATTGGTTTTGGAATCCGACCTCAATTTGAGGTCTAATTCCTCAAATTTCACCCAAAAATACCCAATTTCCCATAAAAATCCCTAGATTTTGTGATTAAATCTTGTAAAAAGATGAAGTAGATTGAGCGAGATGAATTAGAAATCACTTACTTATGATTTAGAGAAGTTTGAGTCTTTGAAAAATCGCCTAGGGATGTTTAGGGTTTGAGAGAATTGAAAAATGATAAAATCCCGTCTGAAATCTCACTTAACAGGCTGCAGTTATCGCAATTGCGATCAGGGGTTCGCAATTGCGAACCCTTTGAATTACTACCGCCTTCGCATTTGCGATGAATATGTCGCATTTGTGACAGAAGGGCCTTCGCAATTCCGGCTAGAAGTTCGCATTTGCGAGGCTGGCCTGCCCAGGCCTGGTTCGCATTTGCGACATTATTGTCGCATTTCCCAGGCCTGTTCACTTCGCAATTGCGAAGCCTGATCTCGCAGTTGCGAGATTAGAGACCTGTGCAAAAATACCAAATGCATCAGCTGAGTTTCCTAAGTTCTAATCACTCCGTGGCTTATCCAAAACTCACCCGAGCCATCGGGGCTCCAAACCAAACATGCACGCAAGTCTAAAAATATCATACGGACTTGCTCGTGCGATCAAATCATCAAAATAACATCATTATGAATTTAGCCTCAAATTCATGAAATTCTTAAGAACATTGAAATTTTTCATTTTCTCAATTAGGGGTCCGATTTATACCAAATCAACTCTGATTCTTATAAAATTTCAGAGATTCGACTTAATTATTATTTTAACATGTACCGGGCTCCGGAACTACAATACGGGCCCGATACCATTAAGATCACACACCATTTCATTTCCAAAAATCCTTATATTTTCCAGCAAATAATTTTCTTTAAAAATTCTTTTCTCGGGCTAGGGACCTCGGAATTCGATTCCGGGCATACGCCCAAGTCCCATATTTTACTACGAACGCTACGGGACCGTCAAATCACGGGTCCGGGTCCGTTTATCAAAAATATTGACCGGAGTCAACTTTAATCAATTTTAAAGGCCAAATTCAATATTTTTCTTAAATTTCACATAAAAGCTTTCCGGAAACGCGCCCGGACTGCGCACGCAAATCGAGGTGAGACAAAAGGAGGTTTTTAAGGCCTCGGAACACAAATTTGACTTCTAAAATAAGAGATGACCTTTTTGGTCATCACAGAAAAAGACGTGTTTAAAACTAATTAGATTAATATAGATTTATACATGTAAAAACGACCCA